AAAAAAAGAAAGATGACCATGGACTAAGTAACACTATTTATGATAGCAATCATCATGCTCCTCCATGGGATTCAATGATAGGAAACGAATTCCTCCATTGTGGCAAGTGGCGAACAGAAGTTGACGAGTGGAAGAAAATATGGATTGGGGATAAGTAAGATTAGATTAACCCTGGACCTAATTCCTTCTCTGGAAGAAAACGGATCGGAGATGAATTAGATTAAGCTAATCCTAACCCTAATTCCCGCTCTGGTACCATGTTACAAACCTTCTAAAATCCCCAGAAGTGTAGATGAAAATATATAGAGTTCTCCATCGGTCATATGGCCTATGATATCTGTCCTTGTCATGCTTAACAAGAAGCATTTTGCCAATGAGTTGAAATGAAAAACCAAAAATTATCGAGCATGAACTCGAGCGAACAAGGTTTGAACCTAGAATTAATGATTTCATTTTTTTTTCCTTTCGAAATCTTATACTAAACAATATTAACAACCTGCTTCAATATCAAACTCTGATAAAGGTACTGTATCTAAAATTCAACGATGATCTACACTGAAGGTTAGTACTTAAAACCCACACAAGGTATTACCATTTGGTAAGAGAGACCATTAAAAACCCTCTAAAGACGGTCTCCTCGAGAATCGGAGCAAGAACACCTGTGATGCCCACCAAGCAGGCAGTGCTATTTTTTTTTAAAAAAAAAAAAAGAAAAATGAAAGATTAGTATTAGTACAAATGCATGGCAGCTCAATCGCAAAAAATATTAAAGCACACATGCGGAGTTGAAATAATAACATTTATTATGAATATTGAAAGCCCTACCTGACAGTTGATGATCCAATCAATGGGAGCAAGAGCACGAGAGCATCGGTCTAAATAGAATAGAAGAGTTTTTCACTAAATAGTCTTGGATGTAGGGGATGCTGTGTGGGTATCAATTATTAGTAAAACAAAAATAAATTAAGTACAACTACTATATACCTCTCTCTGCGGGGGCTCACCATTGAAAAATGTCATTGCAGCCCCTGTAATGGCTATGGCAGCTAGAGCTCCACCAAGACCAGCTCCAGCATATAGCAACCAACCTTTCTTGAGATCAAAAGGGTTCCTCCAGTCTGAATCATGTAATTCACCATTAAGTCATCTAGTTTCTTAAGAAATATACACAAATGAATCTCAATGCATGGGCCATGTTGGCCAATTACCATATCTGTATATGTCATCAGGAAGGGGAGAGAACGATTTTGTCAGGCTGTACAGCACAGCAAGAACGACTGTTGTGGCAATGCTACACCAGATAACAAGAACATCAATTATGCATATAAAATGTGTGTTTAACGAAGAAAGTGCAGGAGGAACCAAAAGAAGAGAAGAAAAAAGGAAAGAAAGAAAATGAAAGCTGAAAATTGTTTCTTACCCTTGATCTACAAGCAAGATTTCTGCCTTCTCATCCAAACTGAACTCCTCAATTTTAACTCCCGAGTACTGCAAAGCTGCGGCCTCAATTAGTCCTGTCAAAGCAAAACTGTCTAAAATACTAATTAGTTTTTTCACAAATATAACCAGTTCAAATCACTATAATTATGCTATTACTAAACTGGAACTGGGCAAACTAGCAATGGTTAAGGCCACCTCAATCCACATGCAAGTGAAGTCAGAGAGATTGTTTGCCAATTCCAAGGCACGTCCCAGCGTTTCAATATTCTCCAATTTAATAAATTATCCTGTAAAATCAAAACAGTGCACTATAAAAACCCAAATGTCATTTAGATTTGATTGAAGGAACTAGGAATAATTTCTGAGGGGATAAATAACATAAAAAAGGCAGTACGAAAATTGGAAAAATTAAACCAAAAGGAAGAATAAAGGCGTAGGCCCTTTCAAGCATCAGAAAAAGAGATTTCCTACATCCAGACATTCCAACATTAGGGTTTTAACCCAAACAAGTATGGTTGCTCCTTTTCTAGATTATGTGAATAACAAATTTCAAATTCCACATATTGTAACTAAAAGATGACCATCGCACTAACCAGAGGTCGGTTTTTATCAACAAAGCTGTCGAGTAGCAGCGATTTGATCTACCTAACTCGTAAAAACGTGAATAAAGTTATATTAAATGAGGAAGATAATTTATGAAATTATCCATGCACCACATAGGAAATTATTAAAATACTGTTGTTAATTGAATTAAACTAAGGAACAAACCAAGCTCCACCATTACAGAAACATATTAGTTTCATGGCGTGATAGATGTGACAAGACCACTTTCTGTTTCATGAGTTCGCAACTACTCTCATTGGCTAATTAAGTTATCATCATAGTCTCAGTATGTCAAACAAAGAAAAGCCTGATTGTTCATGAAGGGCAGTCATGAATCACAGGAAATACGCAAGCAAGCAATTTACAGAAAACTCCAGAAGATGATGAGTTATTGCAATTATATTTGATGTATAAGTAACATAGGGAAAGGTATTTAGACTTAAGGTCATTCAGTAACAAATTACTAACTCCAGCCCCATTCCCGGATTTTTCTCCATATCCTTCAATTTTCTGAATTCAAATTAAAGACACAGTTCTTTTAAAGGGTAATTCTAAACCACATGACAGTTTATTTCAAACAATAATTCAAACTAAAAAAGATGAAGAAAAAGTCAATGAAAAATATCATTAGTTCATAACTGTGAACAGTAAAGGCTAATGCTACTAAAATGTCATACTCTTAACAAATAACACAAACAAAAGTATGACATAAATATGCATTTTTGTTACAAAGTTATCACGACTCTCACCCCTCACACACGAATTTTATCAAGTATGAAGTCTTCTATACAGCATAAATACGATTCATTCTTATCAACCTCAAGTTACCCATATAAGAATCAAATCCAAATTAGATAAGAAAATCTCTTCAATTCAAAATCACGAAGAAGAAACACAAGATACTGTAGATGGGCTTTATTAATAAAACTAGCAAAAGAATAAAGCTCACATCTTTGACATTATCATCAGGCGTGTTGTCCTTGTAACAGACAACTCTACCTCTCGAGCTTGTGCCACGAAGTTTCAGAGGAGTCGACAGGGGAGAAAAGCGAAGGCCGTTCTGCAAATGGGATGTAACGTGGGAACATAGTTTTGGTGATAGAGTGAGAGTAGAGATCGAGGAGCGAGTGAATGATGCAAAAAGGGGCACTGCTGCTGCCATTTTTACAAATTGGAACGGATTTTTAGTTTTTTTTTTTTTTCCCTAATGTAAATTGGGTATTTGAGGTATTTATTTCTTTTATATACCCTCGCAACAATCGAAGATAAGGCCCGATTTTCAAAAAGAGGACTTTACGCGATGGACGGTAAGTCGGTAACATGTGTAAGAGTTGTCCTTCCCGGAAATAAAAAAAAGGTAGTCCACTCCTTAAAATGAGTATACTCTTTAAAATGAGTCCACTCCTTAAAATATATATTAGTTAAATAATAAAATAATTATTAGTTGACTCCGGCGTTAACCGTTGACTTCCGGCGTTTGACTGTTGATTTCCGGCGAAAAATCGTTGACTTTCGACATTGACTGTTGACTTCCGGCGTTGACACCGGCGTTGGCCGTTGACTTCCGGCGTTGACCCGTTGACCCCTAGTATGCATCATATGTATGAAGTAAATATGCATCCAGTACCATGCATTCAATATGAACTAAATATGCATGTGATATAAATTGCACATGCAGTCCTTATGAACTAAATATGCACCAATAATATCAACTAAGTATGCACCTGTTATGAACTAAATATGCATCATGAATGAACTAAATATGCAGCGAAAAATATGCAATAAAAATGTACATTTTATATAGGTAATTTATGATGCATATTTAGTTAATTTATTATGAATATTTAGGTAATTTATGATGCATATTTAGTTAATACGAAATGCATACTTGTTATATTTAAATTAAATATATAATAATATTCATATAATTAATTTATTATGCATATTTACTTAATTCATGGTACATATTTAGTTCTTACGAAATGCATATTTAGTTCATGAACAATGCATACCTATTTCATGTGAGATCCAATCATAACAATTTATTTGTGTTATTAATCAATTTAAAATTAAAATTAATTATATAATAAAAATTATTTGTGTTATTAACTAAATATGCATTTGTTATGAACTAAATATGCATCATGAATGAACTAAATATCCAGCGAAAAAATATGCAATAAAATGTACATTTTATATAGTTAATTTATGATGCATATTTAGTTAATTTATTGTGAATATTTAGGTAATTTATGATGCATGTTTAGTTAATACAACATGCATACTTGTTATATTTAAATTAAATATATAACGATATTTATATAGTTAATTTATGATGCATATTTAGTTTATTAATGATACATATTTAGTTCTTACGAAATGCATATTTAGTTCATGAACAGTGCATACCTATTTTATTTTGAGATACAATCATAACAATTTATTTGTGTTATTAATCAATTTAAAATTAAATTAATTATATAATAAAAAATCATTAATTATTATATTTAAGTTAATTGTATAAAATGTATATTTTATTGCATATTTTCGTTGCATATTTAGTTCATTCCTGATGCATATTTAGTTAGTAAAATGTGCATATTTAGTACATAAACAGTGCATACATAGTTGATATTATTGTTGCATATTTAGTTTATAAGGATGACATATATAACTCATTTCTTATGCAGATTTAGTTCATACTAAGTGCATAGTACTGTATGCATATTTACTTCATACAAAATGTAGAATAGGGGTCAACGGTCAACGTCGAAAGTCAACGGTCAACGGCGAAGTCAACGCCGGAAGTCAACGGTCAACGCCGGAAGTCAACGTTTTTCGCCGAAAGTCAACGGTTAACGCCGGAAGTCAACGGTCAACGCCGGAAGTCAACAGTCAACGCCGAAGTCAATGGTCAATTGTCAAAATAATATTTAAATAACTAAAATAATAAAAATAAAACATTAAGTAATAAAAATAAAGAATTATTATTTAAATGAAAAGTTAAATCTTGGCCACACATCATGTACCAATCTAGTGGCTA